TATAGACGACACCCGGATTGTCCACTTTGAGCCTATATATCTCACTTCTTTTGAAAGATATCAAAAAGTGGTTAACTAATAAAATGTTTATCAGCAACATTTTACTAGTTAGCCACTTTTTGATATCTTTCACAGAAAATGAGATATATAGGCTCAAAGTGGACGATCCGGGTGTCGTTCTATTAGAGGTTTTACGGTATTCCTCCAAGAATTCAAAGAAAAAAGTAAAACGCTGAATAAAAAGTTGTAGTAGCTCCCTAATGGTTTTGTGAAAGACGTATACTGTGAAAACTCTAATATAAAACCGCCTGTAGTAGAACGCCACCCTCATGGGGACCGAAACTTTTGCTTTTTCCTTTGATAATAGCGAATCGAACCCTCAGTAAGAGTTTCTAGACATTTTCAACAAAAACTGTGTGAAATGGAAGCACATGATACAATCCCCTATACAAGGGCCACTTTTGGACGTTTGTGGCTATCATTGCATATCAAATTCGATATCTCAAACAGGAAATGAGATAACTCGGGTCAAAGATATCAATAGTGAAAACTCAAATACTATTCAAGTAAAGAAATTCGCGTGGCCGAAAAAAATGAAAAGAAAAACTACTTTTTTTGAATTATAGAAAATAAGAAAACTACGTGAGATGGTTTAAAAGTCCAGAAAAAGGGAGAATTAGTTCTTTCTTTCTCGGGGCTCCGAGGAGGGGAGGGAGCTCCGACCGGAGCCAGGAGGCCGATCCGGGTTCTTCGGTAATTGGGTCCTGAGTCCATGACCTAGATTTCGATTTTTAGATCATAGATTTTGACCTAAACATATGACCAAAAAAAAAATAAAATCTAGGTCATGACCTAAAATTCGAAATATAGGTCATGACCTAAAAATTGAAATCTACGACATGACCTAAAAATTGAGATCTAGAGCTCCCTCCCCTCCTCGGAGCTCCGAGGAATGAAGAACTGATTGTTCCCTCCACTTTCTTTCTTCCTTTATAGTACTTTCCTAGGGTCACAGGCTTCTAAACCATCTCACGTAGTTATAAATTTCAATTTCATTTATAAATTTCAAAATTTTTTATTTTTAATTTTTTTCCGCGACTTTTTCAGCTTTTTATCTCAGTTCCTGTAAGAGATATCAAAAATGTGTCAACTGATAAAACATTTATCATATTATCAGCAACATTTTATCTGTTGATCAATTTTTGATATCTCTTATCAGAGCCGAGATAAATGAGCTCAAAGGGATCAATTCCCATTGAAAATTGAGTTTTGTGGATTTTTTGTTGTTTCCCATACAAAAGGTTTTTTAAAAATTTATTTCAAAGTAGATTAATTCAAAGCACAATTCACAAAAAAAAGATTGATGGTGTCGATGGTTTCCTTGTGCCTTCGCACTTCGGATTCCGATTTCCTTTTCCTTCCAATCTGGTAAAACATACATGTTGACTTCTGGAATATTCGGAATTTTTGGTCTACTTTGAGCTTGTATATCTGATTTCCTTTAAAACGTATCAAAAATTGGTCAACAGATAAAATGTAGCTGATATTATGATAAACATTTTATTAGTTGCCCACTTTTTGATATCTTTCACAGGAATCGAGATAAATTGGCCTATTGGGGGTTATTCAGAGAGAAGACGTGGACCTACAGGGCCAGCCTAAGCAAGATATAATTGTTTTGTATTCAGAAATCAAACATTTTAAGTTGGAACATCGGGGCATAAGTTTGTCGTTAAGCTTGTTTTGGACGTTTTTGGCTTTTTCTGCGGCCCCACATCTCAAATTTTTTTAAAAATCAAGAAAAGAAGTAGACCTCATCCTGTAAGTAGTCTTGGGGAGGGGTTATCTGAAAATCCAAACTTTAATTCTCATTTTTTTCAACTAAAAACTCACATTTCTAATAAAAATCAATAAAAAAAAGACTTCTACACACGAAGGCATGGTGGAGACTACCTGAAAATAAGAATATTTCCTTTTCCTAGGAAAATCTAAAAAGAAGAAAACTCACAATATACGGAAAATCAATAGACAACCACACGCATAGCCTCGGAGAATATACGAATGAGGCTTGTTGGCTGCTCGGACGTCGCCTTGGACACAATTATGGATTTTCCGACGTCTCTCCAGAAGATGTGCCTTCTCGCTTTTAGAATACGTAGTCGTCTCCACGGTGCTGAGTGAGATAGTGGAGGATTAGAGAAATGGTTCAGAAAGCTTTTAATGCTCGTTTTACTTGATTTTCAAGTTTACATTCAAGTTTAGCATGGAATTCCCTTCAAAATGAGCCTAAACACGTACCAATTTTGAAAACTTTTAAATGAATTTCCAAAATTTCCGCTTCAAAATTTTAATTTCAGCCGTTTTTATTATGAAAAACCTCTCTGAATCCCGAAAAACCATTCAAAATCACAAAGAAAGCTCTAAAAACTCATTTTCAAAAAAGTTAGCAAAATGGCTCAGTGGGTTTTGGCACCGAAATTTACGGCCCACAAGGCCAAAAGTTCAATTCCTTCTGGGCTCAAAATTTTTTTTATTTTTGTGTGGACCTTGGAAAGCTAGTTTGCACACTTTTTAAATACCGAGAAATTGGAAATTTTTGAGAAAAATTGTTAAAAAGTGACTTTTTACTTTGAGCTCAATTATTTCGGCTCCTGTGCAAGATATCAAAATACTGTCAATAAGTAAAATGTAGCTGGTAAACTGAAATTTTTTTTATCAGTTGACAACTTGTTGATTTCTCTTATAAGAGCCAAGATATTTGAGCTCAAAGGAGCGGTCGGGAGTAAGTGTTTGCTCAATTTGTTTTTTTCTTGTTTCCCGAAAATTGAAGTTTTCAGGATTGTGTCGTCTGATCTGATGCATCTTCAACTTTGCCGTCAGTGATTCGGTATAATCCTCGCTGGTCCGTCTTCTTTTCTCCCAAAAGTGAAAACGACACATTTTCCCAGCTGAAATATGGGACTAAATCAGAGATATATATATAAAACAAAAAAAAATTAACTCATTCTAAATTTCCATCTTCTTGCTCCACTTTACGTCCCTGCAATTGCGACATTTTAGAACCGCGAAATTTAAGAACCACGACGTTTCAGAACCGCGACGTTTTAGAATTGCGACATTTTAGAACCGGGAAATTTTAGAACCGCGATGTTTCAGAACCGCGACATTTTAGAACCGCGACATTTTAGAACTGCGACGTTTTAGAACCGCGACATTTTAGAACCGCGACGTTTTAGAACCGCGACGTTTTAGAACCGCGACATTTTAAAACCGCGACGTTTTAGAACCGCGACATTTTAGAACCGCGACATTTCAGAACCGCGACGTTTTAGAACCGCGACATTTCAGAACCGCGACGTTTTAGAACCGCGACATTTTAGAACCGCGACGTTTTAGAACCGCGACATTTTAGAACCGCGACGTTTTAGAACCGCGACATTTTAGAACCGCGACGTATTAGAACGGCAATTTTTTTTCCGATTTGACTGTCCTGGTCCGATACGTTGGCAAGTTGGTTTCTGCAGAACTGTGGATGAGGCACTTTTTCGAAGAACCACGCGTACGCCAAACGCATTTGCGAAATGAGGAGAAGCAGAGAAAAAGACAGGAAGAAGGACAGCTCGATCGCGCAACAGTATATGCAAAACTAAAAAAGTATCGATTACATTTTGGGCGACAGGCCCCCTAGCTGTTCTCTCTTTCTCCAGAGAATGGAGTAGAGGGAACCGCGACGCATATGCCATTGATTCGGCTCTATTCTAGTTTAGAGGTCCCAAAACAATTTACAGGTCCGAAAAAAATTAGAGGTCCCAAAATAAAAAAGAGGTCCCAAAAAAATTAGAGGTCCCAAAAAAGTTTAGAGGTCCCAAGAAAAAATAGAGGCCCAAAATTTGAAAAACGCACAGATATTGGAATAATGTACTAGTATTTGAAATGTGTGAGTAGTTTCAGTTTTGGGTCTTATAGGATGATATGACTGCTCCTAACAATTTTAACTTCCAATTCTCTTGAATCTTGCCGATGAACCCCAATTTACATATGAGGAAAATTTGGGCAATACAGTAATCACTCCGTGATTATGCTGTCTCTCAGGCTTAGATAATTGTCAGAAAATATGCATTCCTAAGCCTATTAGAAGTATAAAATATATCATCAACAATTATTTTGCTATAACACCTCAAAACTTTAAATTCTTACACAATTCAAATTTTAGTACATTATTCCGGTATCTGTGCATTTTTAAGTTTTGGACCTCTATTTTTTTTTGGGACCACTAAACTTTTTTGGGACCTCTAAACTAGAAAAGAGCCATTGATTTTGTGTGGTATCTCGAAAGTCTCCGCACGGAATGTTGTTGTTTCAGGAAATCCGAGTTTTCTACCTGGACTAGTTGAGCTAGCTCGACGTATACTTCATCTGGATTCATTTTTCTCTCATCTTTATGCAGGAATTTAAAAACAAAAACAATCGGAAAGTAAAGTTTATTTGACAAGAAAAGAAGTACGAGAGAGGCCGGGTTTAGAAAATGGATTTTTCGAAAAAATTAGGAAGAAGTGGCGTGAATAGATGAATAATGAGAACAAACAGGGGAAGTGGCAATAGTGGATTAAAAACGTAAAAATATTTTGGGACATGGAGAACATAACATTTATAAATACTTGAGTTCCATCGGCCCACTTTCCGTCAATGCTCCGTCCATTTCGATGATGTAGTGTGCTGAAAAAAATTAATAATAACTTTCGACATTATTCCTAATGAAACGTACCAACAGGCGAAGATGGTGGAGCTGGATGATTCGCAGTTTTCGATCTCTTCTTGCTTAATGCGTGTCGTTTCTTGAAGACGTCTTTGGCATTCTGAATTTCAATTATAACTTTTTTCGATTGGTAAATGAAGACTTACTTTAACTTCATTTTCTGGGATCCACGAGTTCCAGAGTGGGCTCTCAAAACCCTTCCATTTGATCAAATGGAATACTTTACCATTGAAGATCCTTTCTTCAATAGTCTTCTCGATTTTTGATTCAATGGATTTTGTTGGAGTCGGTAATCGTCGATGACAGCCCGATACTCCTGAAAAATGATAATGTGAACTCTACCTTCCTATAGCACTGCATCATTTGAATTTCCAGCAAAAAAGTACCTACCCACAGCTCCGCATCGCTTCCCTCGAGAAGTCTCCCATCGGCGGTTTCAATTTTGAAGACCGGATAGCCTTTGGACAGGTCGTGGGACTTCGCGACAGCCGTCGAGCCTTTTTTTGCTGGAATTGATGTAAATTTGATATTCGAGTGTGTGTTTTTTTCTTACCTCGCTCTTGTCGAGCGTCTCACCCACAAAGAGGGGAGAAAGGAGAAGACGGAGGTTGAAGACATTGTCGTTGTGCGTGTCCGGATGACGGTTCCTGGTCGAAGAATGCCTGGAAGTGAGAAATTTTTGAAAAATTAACGACGAAAAAACTCACATTTCTAGGAAAATCAATGAAAAAGGGAGACTTCTACACACGAAGTCATGGTTGAGACTATCTGAAAACAGGGATTTCCTTTATAAATTCTCGAAAAATATGAAAACTCACGAAATATGGAAAATCAATAAACAGTCACACACACATAGCCTTGGAGAATGTATGAATGAGGGTTGCTGGCTACTCGGTTCCCGTCCTATCCACTCCACCTATTGACTTGTCTGCGCCTCTCCTGAAAATCAATACTCTCTCGCTGTCATATAAATTTCGAGGTGCTGGCAGGACGCCTAGTGTCCCCTGTCTTTTCTCTGTGTCTCTCAAAGAGAATTTACTGTCTCGCTTCAGTCAGCCAGCTCGTCCAGGTTATGATTTTAGTAAATTCAGTTTACATATTCAAATTCAGCATGGAACCTTCTTCAAAATGAGCACAAACACGACCCATTTTAGATAACTTTGAAATTATTGAAAATACCACGATTTTCCACGATTCAATGAAGGAGCCCATTTTTCACCAAAAACAGTCACCTTGAACTTTAAGCTCAGTTAGCTCATTTCCTGTGAAAGATATCAAAAAGTTGTCAACTGATAAAATGTTTATCATATCATCAGCTATATTTTTTTAATTGATACTTTCTGATATCTACTCTGAAATAAATTGAAAAACACCTTTTGTATGGGAAACAACAAAAAATCCACAAAAATCAATTTTCAGTGGAAATTCATCCCTTTGAGCTCAATTATCTTGGCTCCTATTAGAGATATCAAAATTATGTCAACTAATAAAATGTTGGTTATAATTTGATAAACATTTTATCAGTTGACCAATTTTCGATATATTTTAAAGGAACTGAGAAAACTGAACTCAACATTTTAAAAAAGCTGAAAAAGTCGCGGAAAAATATTGAAATTATTAAATTGAGAATACTACGTGAGATGGTTTAGAAAGTACTATAAAGGAAGAAAGAAAGTGGAGGGAACAATCAGTTCTTCCTTCCTCGGAGCTCCGAGGAGGGGAGGGAGCTCCGGCTGGAGCCTCCGGCTGGAGGGCTCGATCAGTGTCCTTGGGTCCTGGGTCCTGGGTCCATGACCTAGATTTTTTTTAGGTCATGACGTAGACTTCTAACTTTTGGTCACGTCCTAGATTTCAATTTTTAGATCATGGCCTAGATTTCCAATTTTAGGTCATGACCTAGATTTTTTAGTTGATGACCTCGATTTTTTTAGGTCATTACCTGGTCCCAGGACCCAAGGACCCAAGGGCCCGGATCGGGCTCCTGGCTCCGAGAAAGGAAGAACTGATTCTTCCTCCCATTTCCCTCTTCCTTTATAGTACTTTTTCTGGACTTTTAAACCATCTCACGTAGTTTTCTTGTTTTCTATAATCCACGCGAATTTCTTTACTTGAATAATATTTGAATTTTCACTACTGATATATTTGACCCGAATTATCTCGTTTCCTGTTTGAGATATCGAATTTTTTCTGACATTGAAAATTTTTATGAAATCGAGGCAAACATTTCATCAGTTGACCATTTTTTGGTATCTTTTACAGGAACCGAGGAAAAAAGGATCAAAGTTAAACCTCAACTCTGAGACTGGGTCCCTGGGTGGCAACTTTGACTGTTTTGGATTATTTTTTATGGCTTTTATGATTCGAAAATAACCTTTTAACTGTTTTTTTCTGCCTTGAAAGCGAAAATAGATATTTGCCTCCGTTTCCCCAATCTCTTGCAAAATGAACCATAAAATATTCCGTTTTTATGATAATACATAAAAGCGAGAGAGCATGGATTTTTTTTGTTTAATTTAAAAATCCGAATTCAGCATAACATTATCTTCAAAATGAGCCTAAGCACGACCCATTTTTGAAAACTTTGAAGATTTCGAAAATTTGAAAAAAAAATAATTTTTTAGATTTTTTCCCGTTTTTCGAAATTCAAGGTATTTTTAGAGTGTCCAAACTAGTTTTCCAGGGTCCACACAAAAATAAAAAGAATTTGAGCCCAGAAGGAATCGAACTTTTGGCTTTGTAGACCGTAAATTTTGGTGCCAAAACCCACTGAGCCATTTGGGACACTTTTTTGAAAAGTGCCATTTTTGAGCTTTTTTAGTGGTTTTTGGAGGCTGTATGTGGATTTTAGTCTGTTTTGGACCGTTTTTTTCTCATTTTCCTTGTTTTAAAACTGTCGTTTCTGACTGTTTTGGATCATTTTTCATAGTTTTAAGAGTTGAAAATCAATTTAAACCTGTTTTTTTAAGTTTGGATGGCTCAAAAATAGCATTTCTCTGCGTCTCCATAATCTCTTGCAAAAAAGCACATAAAATATTCCGTTTTTATGGTAATACATAAAAGCGAGAGAGCATGGACTTCTAGAGAGACGCAGAGAGAATCGTGGAAATCGACGGAAAAGCGAACAAGAAACCCCCATTCTATTCCAACTCTTGACTATGTGTGTTCTAATGGTCTTTTTATTGATTTTTTGAGAAATTTAGTGTGTTTTTGACTGAAATTTTGAAAATTACAGATTTATTTTTCAGATAACCCCTATCTTCTCTTCAAGACCACTGACTGAGGTCTACCTTTTTTTAAAATGAGTTTTTTGAAAAATGTGAGTTTACTTTTTTTTTTTTTTTTGAAAGTGCTTCGAAATTAGTTCTACACCCAAAAATGGGCCTGAAACTGTCATTTTTGAAATCCACAAAAAAAAAAAAAAACGTTTTGGCCCCCTTAAAATATATCGAAAATTAAAATATATCGAAAATTGATCAACTGATAAAATGTTTATCAAATTATAACCAACATTTCATTAGTTGACATAATTTTGATATCTCTAATAGAAGCCAAGATAATTGAGCTCAAAGGGATGAATTTCCACTGAAAATTGATTTTTGTGGATTTTTTGTTGTTTCCCGTACAAAAGGTGTTTTTCAATTTATTTCAAAGTAGATATCAGAAAGTATCAACTAAAAAAATGTAGCTGATAACATGATAAACATTTTATCAGTTGACAACTTTTTGATATCTTTCACAGGAATCGAGATAGTTGAGCTCAAAGTTAGAAGCCAAACTTTGAGAGAATCAGACATGGTGCATCGACCAGTTTTATTGATATTCAATTTGAAAATCCTGTTTTTTTCCAGAAATTCATTGTTGTGACAGATGATATGATGATATTTATCGTCTCAAATCTCAATTCGAAAGTTCGTTGGATGTCATATACGATCAGATTAAGGTATGTTTTTCCGTGCCTTTCCATAAAAACTAAAACACCAAAGTTTTGGAATTCGGGCAATTCGAAAATCGTAATTTTTCAGATAAAGAGTCGTCACTAAGAAGTTCGACAAAGTCTACTATGTTTGGTCATCAAGCACGCCAGAAAGTTCCGGTATGTTTGCTTGATTTTTTCAAGTTTTTGAATTTTTGTAACTTTCGGAATTTTTCAGATACGTCGAAATGGTGGGACTTCATGTGTCGGTCTATGTCGATTGGAGACATGAAGTCAAAAGAAACGTAATCCGACCAACAGGAAGACAAGGGTGACTGACGTAAGTGGAACCCAAAATAGTTCAATACGGACTAAAATGTTTCAGGCATTTTGAAGATGAAACCTATGGCAGTATTGTAGTTTGGCATTCCAGATTATAAGCAGAACAGCTGGTACATTGGATGGATCCTAATTTTAAAATTAATATTGAATTTAATAAAAATTTGAAAAAGTTACACCCCCCGGTTTTTTATTGTTCAGAATATCAGAAACATACAATTTCGAAGCTTTTTTGGTATCAGAAATGCGCAATTTTCAGACGAAATTATCTCGGTTTCAATGAGAGATATCAAAATGTTGCCAACAAGAAAACTATTTATCATAATATCAGCAATATTTTATCAGTTGATTATTTTTTGATATCTTCTACAAAAAGCGAGAAATTTGAGCTCGAACTTTACATTTTTTTTTTGAAAATTTTAAAGTTATCCAAAATTTCTCGTGTTTAGGCTCATTTCAAAGGGAATTTTATGCTAAATTAGAATTCAAAATCGAAAATTGAAAAAAATGATTGATCAAAGCTACCTGAAGCATTCCTCTAATTCTCCACTTCAAAAATTAACTTTTTTCAAAAAAAGTTTTTTGACTTTCGGAATTTCAGAATTTCCGATTTCTAGACATTTTTGAAGTGCACAAACTAGTTTTTTGAGCTCCACACAAGAATAAAAAACTTTTGACCGCAGAAGGAATCGAACTTTTGGCCTTGTGGACCATAAATTTCAGTGCCAAAACCCACTAGGCCATTTGGCACACTTTTTCGAAAATTGTGGTTTTTGACTGTTTTGGTCCGTTTTTTATAGTTTTTCAAAGGTTTGAAATGAGTTTTCAGCAGTATTTTCAGCCTGAAAAGTTCATGAATTGTGTTTGAAGCTTTGAAATTTCATAGACTTGAGATTTGAAAAAATGGGCGTATAAGTATAGGTGTAACTTTTTGAATGTTCACTTTATATCCGTTAAAATTTGAGAACTTTTTTGAGTTTTCAGCACCACGAGAAACACAAATTGAATGGAATGTCGATGAATGGAATCGAGAGAACCACGGCAATCAATGAAGGTGAACGGGCACAATCCGCTCTGAATAACAACAGAGCTAATCTCGAGGTTATTAAAACTGTAGAGATATTTTATCCATGAAATGAAAAAATTTCAGATATCGCTGTCGAAAATAGTGATGAGAACCGTGAATGGCCGCTTCAAATTCTTGCAAAAACTTTCCGAGTTGAACTAAGCGTGAGTGGGAATGACGCTCTTGATGATTTCGACAATATATTATTATTCAGGTCCTGGAAATGAACTTGAAGCTGTGGTCGATCACCTTGAAGCTGTTGAATTCGAACGAGAGGAGTTCTGCAAAACGCAAGCAGAATTTTCCAACTTTTCTCAAGCCAACTTGTGATACTTTAAGTGTATTTTTTTTCTTTCTAATTTACAGAAATATGTGAATGAGAATGATAAAATTTAATTTTTCAAATTCGAAAATTCCAAAAATTTCGAGAAATTGCACATTTTCAGAGAAACCTTGAAATTCCAAAAATCCAAAAAATCTAGAAACCATCCACTACCTCTGACCAAAAAGATGTTCTAATTCCCTTCATTCGCATAGTACAGTAGCTATGATCCCTTCTTTCTTTTCTTAGAGGCAGTGGAAGAATAGGTACCTACTTTTGGTGAAAGAGTCAAAAATTCAGAATTTCAATGATTTTGAACAAAACAAAGTATTTACAATGTTTACAGTCATCAAAAAATCAATTTTTATTTCGAAACATTTCGAATCATGTGAACAACAACATTATTTGATTCAAATTGCTAATCACTCAATTTCTTATCATTTCCAAGTATTCCCGTTTTCCTATTCATCAAATTTGTTGAAAATTGAAGGCATTTTGAAAATTGAAGGCATTTGTTGAAAATTGAAGGCATTTTGAAAATTGAAGGCATTTGTTGAAAATTGAAGGCATTTAGAATCTACAGACATTTTTGTACGAAATTGAGCAATACAAATTTAAGGGGTTTTCCAGTACTTGTCCTCTCAATCTCCTTATTTTGCAATTCTATTTTTGGGACAATTCCAAGAATCAGAGAAGTCACAAATCGAATTGAAAAATGTAGATCCAGATGATTTACACTACTATCTTGAAGTTTCAAAACTGTCCATGTTTCAAAACTGGTGGGTTTTTAAAGGTGGTGTACGGTGAAATGTATTGCATCAAAATGTGCAGAAATGCATGTTTCACTTTTTTTTCGGTTTTTTTTCAAGAGTTTTCCGGGTTTTTGTCAATTTTTCTTCCAGATACATCGGAAAATTTGAAAAAACAGTGAAAACGAGCGAAAAAATTTTAAACGTTTGAATTCGCGCGCTTTTACTCACCGGGCGGCCTAGAAAAAACCTTGTCCGTAAGGGCTTTCAGGGTATTTTTCGATGCGTTTTTGTCGATGAAGGAATTTTTTTTTGAATTGTTTGTTTATTTTTATGTCAATCTACATGCATTTTTGCACATTTTGATGCAATAAAAAATTTCNCCGTACACCATCTTTAAAAAAAGTTTTTTTAAAAATATTTTCATGTTACAATCAGCATGAATCACTTGATTATCAGTCAAACTTGCGTGTGTGAATATTGCAATACGGTCGTCGCACTTATTAATAGCTTGTTACTCTTCTGGTGAGTTTTCTAGGCCACTTTGACACATCAGTTTCATGTTAGGCCTTTTTGATCACCAACTTCTTTACAAAAGCGTTTCAAACCGGGATCGACTGATTTTAAAAAATCAAGTTTTTTTTTGAAAAACAAGCAAATTTTAAAGGTGGCTGAATAATTCATTGATAACACAGGTGATTTTGTAATCTCTGATAAAAATATGATTTTTTCGAGAAGTTTGAGACCAAACTCGATTTATTATCTTTTTTTCTCGTCTAATGGACAATGTTCTTGAACTTGGAATAGCTTAGATGACTACAATAGCGAGTGTGTCCTGGTGTTTGAATCAGTGGAGAGGGGGGTCGACAAATTTTGCCGAAAGAATCGTTGACCCCGTTTGACTGAATTATTGATCCTAGAGCTGGTCCT